AGGAATAACAAAAAATTCAAAAGAAAATTTCTAATTTTGTTTTGAAATTATGTTTTAGATTATTATCTCTATTTATTTCAAGATTTCACAAATGAAGAAATGTTAACAATAATTTCTAGTTTTTGTATAAAGAAAGTTTTCAATTTTGTTTATAATTTTTGCTGGTCAAAAATGGGAAAATAAATTTCAAATAATGTTTATCATTATGTAAGTTATTTTTTAAGGCAAGAAATTGTGAAATGCCCAATGTGTATATGTTGTAAAAAGTAAGAGAGTGTTCAGATACAAGATTGTACAGGAACATGATTTTCCTGAATTATAATCTGTAAAGTGTACAGATCATAATATTGAAAAATGATAGAGTGTGCCAAACAGGTTGACTGTATGATTTTACAAGATCATAGGGTGTACTAAATGGTTGTATAATCTCAATGTATGCTCTAGTGTTAATTCCAAATAAAATGAATATTTTTATTGAATTTCTGTACATTTTCTAAGACATCCCTCCTATACTATTGTCTACTACTATGAGTACTTTCTCTGACCACCAGGATTTGGTTAATACTGTTACTCTACTATACTGTCTTACTACTACTAAAGCTGTACAATCTCTTACTCATTATTATGTGAAGGAGCCTCTTAATGAGTCCAAACTTTCTGGTGCTGAATAAGTAGCAGAACTTTGAAATAGTTACTCAGTACACTTCTAGAGAGCATTTAGAATGAGGAAGTATGTATTTAACAAGCTTCTGAATATATTAGAGAAGAAGGGTGGACTTTGTGAAACAAGATATATGAAAACTGATAAGTAGTTAGCTATCTTTCTGTACATGACTACTACTAGGAACACAAACAGAAGGGTTTAGGAAAGGTTTCAAAGAAGTGCAGATACAGTTTCTAAGTAAGTAATTTAAGTCAGTCTATTTACACTTATTCATACTTTTTATTATAGGTGTTTTCACAGGATTATTAATATGTTGAATTCACCTAGTATATACTATACATTTATTAAGCTTCCTAGAGAGGGAGCTCCTACTCCTGTAGAAATACAAACAAACCCAAAATGGTACCCTTATTTTAAGGACTGTCTTAGAGCCCTTAATAGAACCTACATATATGCTTCTGTCCTTACTAATTAATAGTCTAGATACAGGAACAGGAAGGGATTTATATCTTAGAATGTTCTGACTATTGTATCATTTAACATAAAGTTTCTATATGTTCTTAGTAGATAGGAGGGAAGTGTATCTGATAGTACAGTCTTAGACAGTGCTAGACAATAAGGCTTTCTAGTTTCAGATAGTAAGTATTATCTTAGTAATGCTGGCTTTCTAGTCAGTACATTAGTACTTGTACTATACAGAGGAGTACATTATCATTTGAGAGAATAGGCTACTATAAAGAATAGGTATGTATTTATCTAACTTATGAAACCTTTAATACATTTAAATTTAAATTTATAGACCCTTAAACATAAAGGAACTGTTTAATCTGTGTCATACTATAGTCAGGAATGTTGTGGAAAGAATATTTAGTGTTTTCAAAGTACAGTTTCAAATTTTTGCTACTGTACTAGAGTACTCTATTGAAACTCAAGCAGCTCTGGTGCAAGCCCTATATGTAGTCTACAACATTATACATATTTATGATTCTACAAAGGTGTATGAGTAGGAAGAAAGTGACAAGGATATAGGGTCTGAGACTAGTATACAACAAGCTATAGGAGGAGCTACACAATAAGTTATAGTAGAGAACCTACATAATTGAATTGTAGAAGACATGTAGAAAGGGTATAAGTAAGAATACTGAAGGAGGGGAGAAGAGTAAAGGAATGTAACATGTGAGTAAGAACAATATTGTAAGTGACAGGAATAAAAGGGTAGAAACAAATGTGAATGAGGATGTACTATAGTAGAAGGAGAAGACAGTATTATATTGTGTTCTTACTTACATAGTTGACTAGAGGATTGTAATAGTATAATGTAAGAGGCATCTTAGAGAGGTACAACAGTTATCTATTAAGTGTTTCATGTATAGTCTCTTCAAACTAATGTATACTACTATTGTATTGAGTGTTATGTATTAAATAACAAGCCTACACTTGTTAAGATGTAGACATTGTAAGAAAACACAGTTGGACAAAGCTTTGAACAATAGTTTGAGTGGTTTTTACAAGTCATAAAGAGGTTGCTAGTACTCTACTCTAATACATTATAAAGAGTACTAATTGTTTTCTAGACTGTGTAGGAATACAGTTGCAATTGTGTAACTGTTTGTAGGAAAATGTACAGATAGACTAGTACTGTTTGTGAATCCCTTCCTAGAACACAATTCATTCTTACTTTATATACTGAGTAACTGGATTTTCTTGTTCAGTGTTTCTAGAACTAAGAACTATAGAGTAAAGAGTGTGTTTCCTAGTTAATCTTGTTAATAGCTGCTAGTCTAGGAAACATATTAAAGGTTTTCTGTAATCTGTATCTTTATAAACAGATCAACATATTGAATTCAGAGGGAAAGTAGTCAAGGTATTACAAAATAAAACTAATTTACATGCCTTTGTACCTAGTAAGGGATTTCTGCAAATAAGTAGTATAGTGATCCTTATTTTGTAAAGTAAGATAAGTATTAGTAATACTAGTATGCTCATGTATCATTTCTACTACATCTACTATATTATTGTCAGACAATTTCTCATCCACCTTAATTGCTTGAATAGTAACTGTCCTACATTATAAAGATGTCTCTAGAATCTAGAAAGTTGTTTTAGTAAGTGTTTAGACTGTTATATTCCTTGTAGAAAAAGTAAAAGTGACTGTGTCCACTACTGTTTCAATTGACTTACTAAGGCTTATTATTGTGTTAGCTTCTAAAGTTTAAGGCCTCTTCTTTATAACTGTAACCTCTAGCTCTAAGAATACTACATACTTAGAAGTAGTACTAGAAGTCTAGAAAGTATGTTAATATAGTCTAAAATGTGTAAGCTAAGTGTGAAAGGGACTTACTATAGGGAGAGTCTTAGTGTACTGAGTGTTGTCTTTACTAGTGTCTGACTCAAAGTCAGAGATATCTTTCAAACTCTTTAGTACAGCTGAGACAGAAGAAGTCTTGTTACTTGTAAGAGAACTAGAGCTGACAGTCTATAGACTAGGTATGTCTGAAGTCTGTATATTCTGGCTAGGCTGGATTGCACCCCTTCTATCAGTTACAATCCCTTCTACAAGCTCTGCCATTTCCTTATAAAGAGGAAAGCTCTTCTTGTACTATAGCTTGGCATTTTTGTGTAACTAGGAACAAATATTAGTAAAGAAGAAAGAAGATAAGACTAAGAAGTTAGTATATTACAAAATACATCTCTCATACATTTGCTAGAGTAGTTGTCAAATACTGGACTGGGTCCTAACCAAAGCTAGATGACTCCCTAATCTTCTTCACCTCTTAGTATACACTTTTGAGCTGTAGAGATTGTATAAGAAATCATATGTTAATAAGCTCAACTTGTAAAGACATACTCTGTAAAACTAAGACCTAACATACTTTACCTCCTTCTTAACCCTACCACTCTCACTCTCTGTACTAGTAAGGGCCTTAACAGTTAAAGACTAGACAACAGGCTTCCAACCACTCTCAGTCTAAAGACTATTGTCCTTTACCTTCTTTAGTATCTGAATCAGAAGGGCCTCTTAATTAACTGTCTAGAAAGTAGTGTCTTCTAGTATGAGAACACTTACTAATCACTAGTGTGTTGTGTAGAGAGCAAATAAATGTCTTCAGAGATGTGTAGAGGATGACTAGGGTGGACAAGTAAGGGTGAGACAAGAGGTACTATTAATGTAGTATATATAGTCTCATCTTTAGAGTGTGTGATCTCAAAATGAGATACAGCTCAGAGCTGTATCTTGTTTTTGGCAGGCACATTGTGATCACAGAACAAGATCAAGAATGTAGATAGAGGTGGCCAAACACCTACCTCTATCTCAAATGTAGATTATAATCATACAAGATTATCTCCTTCTCCTTTTAGAAGGAATGATCTTGTTTAATTACACAAAATCATGTATCTGAACACCCTCTAAGTCATGTAATACTTGTGTCTTCTAAATACAGCAATCATCACCCTACAATTGCTGCTGTTGTATTATAATCAATGTCATCAAACCTTTGTACAGAGTCTGATAGGACAATATATTTACATGTAGGGTTTGTAATCAAATGTAACAACTTTTTATCTACAATATACAAAAAGAAGTGGGCTTGGGATATAATTCTAATAAATTATTGTGATTAGAGTAAATTGGCAACAGGCATTTTGGCCCATCTTGCAAAAAAATAATAATGCTGTGCTATTTAAGTTTGAGTATACTTTATAAGGTATTCGCTTACATGATCCTAGCAACCAACCAATAAGCGACCACTTTACATAAGTTGGTGCTGATCACTCAAAACAGTAATGATGTGTTTTGGTTAAAGTCTTAGTTTCATGAGCCAGTAAATGTACATAATATTACTGACTGACCTCTGAAATATAAGCAATATATTAAAGTTTGACAAGGTAGCCTTTTTAGACAAGCCATCAGTTATATAAACTAGCTATTTGTAAGCTCGGTTAAGGCTTATTAAAGTTTGGGTAGGGCTATAGTTGCTGATGTCTGGTCCCGGACCGCTCGGACTCGGTCCGGACGCAGGACTGGACTGATGGACCGGTCCTCTACAGTCCGGTCCTCATGGGTCCAGGAGAGGTCCGGTCCTGGGTCCATCATTTTGAGAAATTTCCCGGACCGATGGACTCGTCCGGACCCGGACTGGACTCCGGACCTGAATAACCTGAACTAATGTCTCAAATCTCGTTTCCCATATCTCTAGCTCACTATACTAAAACAGATCATACTCCTTTAAGGATCTTTGAATATTAGCTAGCACTTGCATAGTACATTTTACAAGTTTCTGGCAGTCCAAGCAAAGCAAAACTTTATTCCTGTTCTTTACTGTTCAATGTATGGCTTACTAAACTTGACTCTTCCTATCTGGTTATTGTCTCCCGAAATATTTATTCCCTTTATGTATATTCACTCCTCTCCCGTCCTATGCCAAAGACGCCGCAGTCCCAGCCGCCCTCCCCAGTCAAGCAGCCAGCCAATGCCCCTGCCCCTGACAAATTAGACAAGATGTCCGAAATCACTCTCAGAAAGAAGAACGCTGACGCTCAGGCTGCTTTCCGTGCACGCCGTGCCAACTATATTGCCACCCTCGAAGAGACAGGTCCGTCTGCTGCTAAGTACCTAAATATTTCATGTTCCGACACTAAGTGTCCGTAATCGCAGTAACCAGCTTA